CCCCCCATTCCCATACTCAGGGCCCCATTCTGCTCCCACCCACCCCCCCCCAGCAGGAAACAGAAAGCAGGTGGGCCACGTGTTGAGTGCAAAAAATAAATATAAAATTTATTAAAACACCCACAATATTTTAAAGATATCAGGAATAATACATTTCGCGGCCCGGCTGGCCACGCGTAACTTAGAATAAAATACAAATTAAAAAAAAAAAAAACAAAAAAAAAAAAACAAAAAACAACAACAAAACAAAAAACAAAACCAAAACCAGGGAAGGAAGGGGGAGGATCCAAACTTGCAATTTTTAGGCATCCTAAAAATAAATTTACCAAAAACACTGAGGGGGGGAAAGGGAAAAAGAAAAGGGTGTTAAGGGGAGGGGAAAAAAAAACAAAAACAAACCAAAACAAACCACAAAGAGGGGAAAAAAGAAAAAGGGAAAATTATACAAAATAAAATTATCAGCATAAATTTACTGTCCTAGAAGTATCTACAGTTTAATACACATTAATCCTATTGCCTTGAGACATGGGAAAAAAATCTACCGGTCCTCGATCTGCCCCGGAAAAAAACTTCATTTCAAGTAACCACAGTCCCGAGCCGACCAAGAAATCTTCAAGTGTGAATTTTTCGGAGCCGCCGGGACACCCCCGCGGTGTCCCCCTCCTCCGCCTGCCGCCGTCCCACCTCCCCTCCTCAATTATCCCAAAAAAAAAAAAAAAACCCAACAAAAACGCCAAAAATAAACCCCCCCGCCTCCGATCGAATTCCCGAATCCAAGAAGAAACGGCGCTTTATTTTTCCAATTTTGAATTATTACCTCTTTTTTTTTTTTTTTCTTTTGGCACCGCGGTGCAAAAACCCACCGGCCAAAAAAAAAAAAAAAAAACACCCAAAACCAAAATCTGCTCCTGGAATAAAACTGAGGCTGAAATTACGGCGGTTTGTAATCCCTGAAGGATGCGGAAAAATGAGGAAAAACCCAGGCAGAAAGGGAAAAAGGAAGGGGGGAAAAAAAAAAAAAAAAAAGGCAGAAACACCGCTGCGAAAGGATCCCTGATTTTGGAAAGATTCACCCCGGTTTCACTCGCCTTCGCTGCCGCGGCGCTGCGGGGGGCGTGGGGGGGGTGGGGGGGTTGAGGTATTTGCCTTGGTTTGGGGGGCACGGGGGAGCTGCTGCCCCGGCGCTGACGGGAAGCCAAAGGGGAAGAAAGTAGCACCAATAAAACCCCAAAAAAATGGAAAAAAAAGGGGGGAGGAAAAAGGGGAAAAGAAAAGAGACGGGCAGAAGCAGGATGCCCAGCCAAGCCCTCGCCGTGGGGGAGACACCGGTGATTCGGGGAGGGGAACGAGCCCGAGAGAGCTGGTGGGGAGCGCGGTGCCGAACGCGGTGCTGAGCGCCGGTGGGCACGGGGCCTGGGCGCCGCGGCGGGGTACAGTGCCAGGAGGGCAGCCACGCAGCGGAGGCGTGCGGCGGGCACCGGCACCGTGGCCAAGCGCCACGGGGGGTGCGCGGTGCCCGAGCACCGCATCTGTGCCGGGGCACCGTGCCCACGCGCCGTGTCCGTGCGTGGTGGGCGAGCACCGTGCCCACGCGCCGTACCTGCGGAGCATGCCCACGCGCCGTGTCCGAGCACCGCGTCCATGCACCATGCCCTTGCACCGTGCCCGAGCACCCTCTCCGTGCCCATGCACCCTGTCCGAGCCCCGTGGCCGTGCGCCGTGCCCGAACACCGTGTCTGAGCACTGTGGTCATGCACGGTGCCGGAGCACCACCGCCGTGCGCGGTGCCCGAGCACCGTATCCACATACCATGCCCTGGCACCATGCCTGCGCACCGTGCGCGTGAACCGGTGCATGCACAACACCCCCATGCGCCAGGCTGAGCACCCTGACCGAGCACTGTGCCCATGCACCATGTCCGAGCACCGGGCTGAGCGCCGAGGCCGAGCACCATGTCCAAGCACCACGTTCACGCACCCTGGCTGAGCACCGTGTCCACACGCCGTGTCCGAGCACCGCGACCAAGCGCCATGTTCACGCATCGCAGCTGAGCGCCATGTCCGCGCACAACGTCCGAGCACCGCGTCCGAGCACCGCAGCCGAGCACCATGATCACACACCCTGGCTGAGCATCATGTCCACACACCGTGTCTAAGCACCACGTTCACGCATCATGGCTGAGCACCACGTCCATGCACCGTGTCCACGGTGCATGGCCAAGCACCGTGCCTGAGCACCATAGTCACACACCACGTCTGAGCACCATGCCCGAGCACCACGTCCACAGTGCCTGGCCAAGCACCATGCCTGAGCACCATGTCTGAGCACCATGTCCAAGCACCACAGCAGAGCACCACGGCCGAGCACCACGTCCACGCACCATGTCGGAGCGCTCCGGTTGAGCACCATGGCCGAGCACCACGTTCACACACCTTAGCCGAGCACCATGTCCACACACCATGCCCGAGCACCAGGTCCATGATGCGTAGCCAAGCACCGTGCCCAAGCACCATGTCCCCGCACCACGTCCGAGCACCGTGCCCGAGCACCAGGTCCGTGATGCGTGGCCGAGCACCGTGCCCAAGCACCATGTCCACGCATCACGTCCGAGCACCGTGCCCGAGCACCAGGTCCGTGATGCATGGCCGAGCACCGTGCCCGAGCACCATGTCCACGCACCACGTCCGAGCACCGTGCCCGAGCACCAGGTCCGTGACACGTGGCCGAGCACCGTGCCCGAGCACCATGTCCACGCGTCACGTCCGAGCACCGTGCCCGAGCACCAGGTCCGTGATGCGTGCCCGAGCACCATGTCCACACACCATGTCCACACACCATGTCCGAGCACCATGGCCAAGCACCAGGTCCACGCACCATGTCCGAGCACCGCAGTCAAGCACCGTGGCCGAGCACCATGTCCGAGCACCGCAGTCAAGCACCGTGGCCAAGCACCGTGTTCACACACCTTGGCCAAGCACCATGCCCACGCACCACGTCCACGACATGTGGCCGAGCACCGCAGCTGAACACCTCGTCCAAGCACCATACCCACGCACGGCTCTCCTGCCAGCACCCTGGCCTCATACCAGAGGGGAACGGCTCCACCGCGAGCCCGGTCGGCGGAATGCCTCCGACACGGCACCGCTTTCAGTTTGCATAAACCCAACCGGCTCCCGGCACGCTTCGAGCTGTCGCTCCGGAAAAGTAAACTTCCTTCTCAACGACATTGCTTTTTTTTTTTTTTTCTCTTGGTTCCCTAGTTTCATATATACATTAGTAGCACCTCAGCGAGATGGAATCAGGCAGAAGCGTGATACAGTTTGTTAAAACACCATAGCACCGTTTTTATTAGAAGATTTCATTTAATAAAAATATGCCTTATAGAGCCCACAAAGCATACTCCAGTATTAAAAGGAAAAATCAGCAATTGAGGCACCTCAGGGATTCTGGTTTCCTTCTCCTTCCCGTGACTCGTCCCAAGAGCGTCGAGATGGGGGGGGGGGGACCCCGAAACGTGTCCCCTGTTCCCTGCTCGAGGCGAAGCACTGCGGCCGGAAAAACCGAAGCAGGGTGGAAGGAGCCCGTCGGGGCTCCCCGCACCGAGCCCTCCCCAGGGTTTCTACCGCGGGCGTTGTTCTAGCACCATTGTGGCCGCGACCTGCTGCAAAATTAGGTCCCCATCCCACTCTAAAACGATTAAAAACATTCCCCAACCCCCCCCCCCAGCAAGGCCCCCTTAACACCGCGACCCCCCTGGCTTCGGCACGGGTGGGACAAGCACGGCCGCCGGGACGGGTAAAGGAAAAGATTTTGCTTGAAAAACAGCCTCTCAGCAGCAAGGGGTAAAGAGCTGTGCATAGATTTCGAGTTTTCATAGAAGAAGTCTGAAGCGTGCTAATTTTTCATGACTGAGATTTGAGGTAGGTTAGACGTTATGTAGTGTAAAAACGTGAGACTGCAGCAGTTCTCGCTCCCCGACCCGCAGCGCCGGCATCTCCCCGCTTACCCGGGTTGAACCCGCCGGAGCCAACGCCGCGCCGGACCGAACCCCCTCCCTGCACCAAAAAAAACCTCCGAGGAAGCAGGACTTAGACAGGTTACACAGACCCTCGCCTTCTCCGAACGCACCCCTTTTCCTCCCGACTCTAAAGCCATCCAGGCGAAGCTCACAAGGCACCCCCGCCACGACAGTCAGACGAGACCCCGGGCGATGCAAACCGGGGCCGGCACCCGAATCCGGCCCCGCCGAACGCCGCTGGCGGGGATCAGCCGGGTCCCCTTTTCACCCTCTGAAACACTTCGACACGTCGGGTCCCCGCGCTGGAACCGGCATCGCCCGCAGGCATCCCTAAAATCTGACTTGCCATCGACTCTTACAATCCTGATATGCTATTGGGTATTTATAAGAAAAGCGGTAATAGCTCGTTGAGTTTCCTTGTCAAATATACGCGACTTTACAGATTACGGTTAAAAAAAAAAAAAAAATTAATTATGAAGGACGGACAAAGCATGTTAAATATTCTGCCAGTATTTACAGTTCTCCCACAATAATCTTGTTTAAAACATACTGCTTTCAAGTTGTTGCGGGGGGGTGGGGGAGGAAAGAGGGGAGTTGTTTTTTAAGTTTCGCTTTCATTTTTAAATCTAGGTGAAAGTGCTTTTAAAAAAATTCTTTCCCTATTTACAGGTTTAAAATCAGACCACTTAAATGTTCAGGCTGTTTTACCGAGATCCTGCTGATCTGTGCCAGTGCGCAAGGAAGGAGGGTGACAGTAAACACAAGGTGATTTCTGCACGGTGACGGCGTCGGCTCTGGCTCGCTGGCTCTCCAAAAGGCACCTGAAAGTGCAAAAGCAACGACCCCGGGGACGCCGGCACCCGGATTCGGCCACGCCGCCCTCCCGGTGAGCTGCAGGGGAGCTCGTCTGCCCGTCCATCCCGGCGCGGCTTCAGTATCGGCGACGGGAGGAAAGTCTCGACTGAGATTGTTCGAAAAGCACCACGCGGTTGTTGTCGTCGTTGGGTTATTTGTTGCGGTTTTTTTGCGGGAAGAACGGCGATCCATAGGAAGGAGGGATGGCACCCGGGGAGAGAAAAAGCACCGAGCCCCGGCGGCGCTCGCCGCCGCACTGGCTCGCCGGCACCGGCGGGGAAGGCGGACCGGCAGGGTTTTGGCCAGCCAAGTCTTGGGATTCACTCTTCCTAGAGCCGATCGCACGGAGAAAGTCCCCCGGAGACGGAAAGCACCAGACTTTAGCAACAGTGATGTACAGAGAGCAACACTAGCTATTCACAGTTTGGGGTTGGTTTGTGTTTTTTTTCCTGTTTTTGTATTTTTTTTTTCTTTCTGTTTTTGTCCTGTCGGCTCCTTGAGAGATGCCGCCGCCGCTGCTCTCCCCAGGGCTGTCAGCAAAGGACCCCCCCAAGTCCGAGCCCGAGCGCGGCACCCCGGCAGCGGCAGTCCTCAGCCCGGACGTGTCCTGAGGTCTCCGGCGCCGGGAAAGACGCCGGCTCGCTCCGTCCCGGCGGAGCCGATCCCGCCGGCGGTGAGAAGTCGAGCGAAGAAGCACCGTCCCGGGACGTCCCGCTCACAAGCAGGTCTCCCGTCACTGTAAGAAAGGACTCCTCAAGTTGCAAAATAGGTATTTTTAGGTCCTTGGGAAAAAAAATAATCGGATGTTCAGCGTGTCCGGCTGACAGTAAAGCACACAATCCTGCCAGGCCCCATGCGTTGGAGCTGGAGGGAGTCACCTCTTGCCTTTAAGCTGGTTTGGTGTTCAGGTTGTTTTTTCTTTGCGTTTAGGGTTTTTTTTCGATGTTGGCTTCTTTTTCGAAGATCGGCTTCGTCGTTGTCATCGGAGTAAAAAATAAAATAAAATAAAATCCAATAAATAGGCATTTTTAAGTGGAATTAAAAACCTCTCCTTTGCGAAAGGACACTATAAACTTCTCCATCCGTTCGCACGGCGCACGAGGCTAGATTAAAAAAACGCAGAGATATAAATATGAGATTACCGAAAAGCGTCAAACAGCATCGTTCCTCTTTTTTTTCAATCAAGTTTTGCTTTGTTTGCCAACTCCTCGCCAAGCGCAGCTCTCTGACGGCATGCGCCCGCGCCGGCTCCGCTGTTTCCGAGCGTGCGTGTTGGATTCGCTTTCTGTGGGTTGGGTTTTTTTTGTTGTTGTTGTGTTTTGCTTCGTTTTTCTCTATTTTTTTTTTTTTTCTTCTCCCCCACGCCCGAGGAGAAAGCACCACGAAGCAACGCCGGGCTCCGGCGCTGCCGAGGGTTGAGGTAAGATGGGGCTGCGGCGGTTGCCTCCGTCTCAGATCCAACGGCTGTAGGGGCCCGTCACCTTGGTGTAGGCGTAGGAGGACACAGTGATGGCGGAGTTGGTGGGGATGGCCACCGCCTGCCGCGTGGGGACCGAGTCCCTCCTCTCCTTGCTGGGCGCCTCGGTCGCCAACGCACCACCCCACTTGCGTTTCTTGGCGAAGGCTTTGGCGTCCGGCGGGAGACCCAGGCGTGCCGCCTCCTCTTGCCGGGCTCGAGCCCGCTCCGCCAACTGCTTCATCTTGGCCTCCCACAGCGCCAGGCCGTGGTTGGGCTGGTTCAAGTTCTTGTGTTGGTAGAAGACCAGGGAGATGCGGGTGGGGTGGCAGCGGTTGGGTTTCTTCAGCGGGGTGGTGGCGTGGAGCTCGCGGCGGGCGCACTCAATGAGGATGGAGCCGTGGGCGGGTGCCACGGCCACCCCACCGATGTTCTCGTCCAGGAAGTTGTGCTCACTGTCCGACCACTCCTCCTCCTCTTCCTCGTCCTCCTCCTCCTCCTCCTCTTCCTCCTCCTTCACCGCCTTCTCCGGCAGATCCTCCTCCAGGCCAAAGGGGTCCCACGGCTTCTCCCGGCGGGGCCCCGCCACCCCCTTCTCGCCCACCGCCGCCTCCCACGGCTTCTCCAGCAGCCCCGGACTGGGCGCCGGCGTCCTCCGCTCCTCCGCCTTCACCGAGCCCCACAGCTCCTCGGGGAAGCTGGGCAGCCCCGGCAGGGCCGAGCTGAAACCCAGCGGCCCCAGCAAGCTCGAGGTGCCCGTGCCAGCCAGCGCCGCTTCCCCCAGCTTGCAGGGGCTCCACGGTTTCGGCAGCAAGCCCGAGCCGCGCGCCACCGCCGCCGCCTCTCCCGCCAGGACGTTGGGCCATTGCTTCTCCGGCGGCGGCAAGCGGGCGGCAGCGTCGAAGGCGCTCAGCTTCTCCCGCCCGCCCAAACCCGGCGCCAGGGCGTTCCACGAGCCCTCCGCCGTGCTAGTCCTCTCGGGTGAAGACGTGCCCCGGGACGCTTTGAAGGGGCTCCACCGCGGCTCCGGCCCCCCGCCGCGCGCTGGGATGGCCGGCAGGGCTAAGCCGGTGCCGGGCACGGCCGCCGCGCCAGGAAGGGGCTCGATGGCGGGTGGAGGGTCCGGAGGCTCCTGCTTGATGGGCCGGCTGCCGAAACAGTTCTGTGCAAACGGCGGCACCTCCTCCGAGCCCGAGCTAGTCCTGTGCGCCCCGGCCGCCGCCGCCGCTTTCTGCTGGCTGGCGTAGCGGTTAGCCCGCTCGTAGGTGCGCTGGTGATGGTTTTTGCTCCGGACGCTGTGCGGGATGGGCTCGGGGAAATCGGTGTTCCCATAGGCATGGTTGAGGTTCTCCTGCAACACCGGGACGTCAGGCTTCTTCTCATAGCCGTTGCTCACCCAGCTGCTCCCACCCCTCTCGGGCGCACCATAATTCAGAAACTGCGAGGGGAACACGTGGTTGCTGGAAAAGCCATAATACCCGAAGGAGGGAAGCGCGAACTTGGAGTGAAACCCGTTCACGGAAGGCAGATTGGGCTGTGCATAGTAGGAATGGTAAGAGTAAACACTGTTCATGCTGTATGGGTCGGAGGGCCGGCAGCTCCCCAGCACCGAGTAGCTCTCCACCACTGCGTTACCGTTGTACTTGAAGGCGTTGTAATGGCTCTGCGGCTCCACCTTGATGGAAGGTTTCAGCGGCTGCGGGGGCAGCCCGCTTTTCAACGCCATACCTGCGGGCACAGCACACACACAGCCCCTGTGACCCGCCGGCCGAGAAAGCCACCGGTGGGGAGCGAGGACCCCAAAAACTCGGCCGGACTCAAAAATCCCACGGTGATAGGCTCACCGGCCGAGCGCAGAGGTCAGCATCGCCCGGTGCGCTGGCACCAATTCACACCCACACTCCAGGCTACGGCGAGAGCTCCCCGCCGCACCGCAGTATGAGCAAAAACCCAGGCACCACAGAAATGCCATCCTGCACCTCAACACCACATGCTCAATGCCACCAGCCCGAGAAAGCCCCCAATCACATCCTCATCCCCTCACGCGCTTTCCGGACGGCCTGGGGCGGCGAGAGCTCAGCTCCACCCCCTTTACCTGCGTTTTGCTGGAGCATGGGGAGCTCGAGCGCTTCCTGCTTGATCTTCTCCGGCGTCATCAGCTTCTCTTTCTGCAGCTTTTTCTTCTCCGCAGCGGCTTTCTTTGCTTCCAGCTGCCTCTGCCGGCAGGACTTGGCGGGCTCGGGCAGCTTGCGGACCTCGCGGGGGAAGGACGTGAGCACCTGGATGGCCCCGCTGCCCACCTTGGCGTTTTGGTTCTCCTCACTGCCGAACTCATCCGTGCTGGACATCTTGTAGAGGGGGAGGACGTGCAGTTGCTCATCTTCGGGGATTTTCCCCACCACGCGATTGTCTTCCTTTGTCAGCGTGCAGACCTGGGGGAGCGCAGGGTGCCATCAGCAGGATGCTGCCAGATGCGGGACAGGGGCGAAATCTCCTCCTTATTCACCTCCATCACTGTGAAGCCACGCCAGCCTGGCATCCCTCCCAGCCCATGCCGGTTCGCAGCCGGCATTCAGAAACCTCCCGTGGGGTTTGGGGGTCAGATGAAAGCAAACGCATCGTCCCCTTTAGCACCGTGCTTTAGTCTAGCTGGGGTGGCTTCAGCACCCCACAGACCTGAAAGGTTTCATCTGAGGCGTGCAAACACCAAGGACCGGCCACTGGAGTCATGCAGGTATGACAACTGGGGACAGGGGGGACCGAGTGGCTCAAACAGGAGCATCCCAAAACAGGGGGAGAGCATCCCGAAAAGGCCCGCTGGCCGCCTGCTTACCACCGTGCAGCCATTGTAGAGGTTATGCTGATCTTTGTGAGCGTGAGCACAGAAGTCCATGCACGCCGTCACTCCTGAGAACGGCCTCCCCTCCTTCAAGCCCAGCCGGCAGTCTATCGCTACATCCTCGTTGGTAACCTGGCAGAAGGAAGAGATGGCTCTTGTTATCCAAAATCTCCTATGCGCCGCCACCCCACGCCCGCTTCTGCCTGCCACCAGGCCAATGCGTTTCCAAGCGGACAAGTGGGTGGCCAGTACCTGATTTTGGTAGGCTTGTGGTGCCAGCCTCTTGTAAAGTGGAGCAACCTCGGTGGCCAAGTCCTGAAAGCTTTTCCGGAGCAGCTCTTCCTGCAGTAGGGAAAAGAGGAGGATGTCACCCAGGGGTTTCGGCAGCGGGGATGGAATTGGGGGCAGAGTGCCCGCACACCACGCGGCATCCAACCCTTCCCACGATGTCTGCCACAGCGCAAAGCACACGGCTTAAATTCCTGGTGAAATTCTGGCCGTTCAACCTCCAGCCTCAGTGCCTGTTGCGCTTTTGCTTGCTCGACCCATGAGCCCTCTGGCATCTTCCCTGAGGTTTCCAGGGAGACCCCATTCGTGCCACCCCATACTGGCACTTGCTGTCACACCAAAAGTCCTGGCTCTGGGACGCCAAGGCGAGCCTGCCCTCTGGTTTCACCAGGTTGGCTTTCTGTCCCCCGACTCCCTAATTCATCAAAAATCCCACAGGGAATCCTATTTTCAGGCTTCCCCCTGACAAAACTTGGAGCTGGGGGTAAAAGGAGGTCTGAACCCACACCCCCGCCAGTGCTGCCCCACTCTGCCCATGTCACCCACCTCTTTGGGATTGTCCCCCACCAGCCTGAACTTGCGGGGAGTTTTGCTCCGGGCGTATTTGCAGCCATTAAAATACATGCTCCAAGAGCAGCCGAAGGAGAAGGAAGCGCCGCAGGTGTTGGGGTCTTTGCCTTGGCATGCGCAGGTCCGGCTGCGGGAGGGACACCGCAGAGGAGCATCAGCCACTGGCGCGGTGATGGCAGCTCCGAAAACAGGTCCCCTTCCCACCCCATCTTCCCGAACCGGACCGCCGGCGCGGTGCGACTTACTCGTCGTTCAAGCCGCAGCGGCGGCTGGTGGGGTTGCCGTACTTGGTGAGGGTGTCGGTGAGCTCCTGGTACAGCGTGTCGCCCAGCGTGCGGGGGATACCCTCCCAGGCCAGGATCAGGATGATGATGACAGCGTTCTGGCAGTGGTGGCCGGCCCGGTGCCGCACCAGGCACAGCAGCTTCTCCTCTTGGTTGTGTCTCCGGATCACCTGGAAAACAGAAGGGCCAAGTCAGACCCCTCCAATGGCGAACACCTCCCGTGACGGGGAGGACCCCAAAAGGGGGGCCCCCCTGCCCTTTGCGGCCCCCGGTGGGGTTTTGGGGGGGGGGGGAGCAGAGCTGTGGGGGCTCCCATGGTTGCATTCACCCCCACGGGCTTTGGGGTGCCAGGGCGGGGGGGGATGCGCCCGGCCCAGGGGCTGCAGGCACGGACGTGCTGTTCGGTGGGTGCCGACGGTGGGAAGCCCCGTGGAGTTTCCCCGGGGGCGGCTGCCGCTCTCGCTTCCTCCTTGCCAGCCGCAGATCGAGCACCCGCCCCTGCCCGCTGTGGCCACCGCCGGCAGGGGACCTCCTTGTCCCCAGGCAGGGGGGGGACAGGCAGGCGCGTTACCTCGGGGAGGACTCCGAGGGGGGGGGACAAGAGCCGGGGCGCAGGCACTCACCCACTTGGCGATGGGGCAGCCCCGGGAGCTCTTCCCCTCCTTCCCCGTGTAGATGACCTTCTCGATGCGGATGGCCTTGCCTTTCTCGCCATACCTGCCGGGGGACAGGCATCAGCCCTGCTCGCCTCCCACCATGCTCACGAGTCCCCCTGCTCGCCCTCGTGGGCCCCTCGTGAGCCCCCACTGGCTTCACGGGACCCCACTCACCCTCCCTGGAATCCTTGTGAGCCCCCACCCACCCTCAGGAGCCCCCACTCACCCTCGCAGGATGCCACTCGCCTTCACAGGACCCCACAGGACCCCACTCACCCTTTTGAGCCTCCACTCATACTCACAGGACTCCATTTGCCCTCATGGGACCCCATCCACCTTCACAGGACCCCACTTGCCTTCACAAGACCCCACGGGGGGCCCCCACCCACCCTCACAAGCCCCCGCTCGCCTTCACAGGACCCCAGTCACCCTTATGGACCCCACTTGCCCTCATGGACCCCTCACAGGATCCCCTTTGCCCTCACAGGACCCCCTCGCCCTCATGGGATCCCTCATAGACCCCCACTTGCCCTCACAGGACCCCTCACAAGCCCCGGTTCTCCCTCATGGGCTCCCACTTGCTCTCACGAGACCCCACTCGCCCTTACGGGCCCCCACTCACCCTCATGGGCCCCTACTCGCCCTCACGGAACCCTACTTGCCCTCATGGGCCCCCACTGACTCTCACGGGACCCCACGGGACCCTGCTTGCCCTCACAAGCCCCCACTCACCTTCATGAGCCCCCACTCGCCCTCTCAGGGCCCCACAGGACCCCACTCACCCTCACAACCCCCCCCGTCACCCTCACAGCCCCCCAGGATGGGACGGGACGGGATGATGGCCCTTACCGCTCCTCCATGAGCTCCCTGATGGATGCCACGGTGGGCCCCGAGCCCAGGTGGGTGTAATACGGCCCCTCATCCTTCTCCACGATTTGCTCTGCAGAAGCAGGAGAAGGGGACAGAGATTTGGGGGTTTGCACCTCTGCCGGCTGCTCCAAAGGACGCCAAACCCCCAAATGCCCTCAAACCGAGCACTTCTGCACCAAAATCAAGGGTTCCTCAATGGCGTCTCCCCGCTAAGAGCATCAGGGAAGGGAAGCTGCAATTAGGGGTTCGTTAAACAGCCTGGCAGCTCCTCTTCGTTTTCTGCTCTGGAAGATGCTCCCAGCACTAAAATGCACTGGGGAACAAGGGGACGGGTGCTCAGACCCGCACTTGTCAGCAACCGTCCCCTTCAGGGACCCAAAAACCTCCCCGAGCGGCCGCAGCCCCTCCCAGCATCCCGGCAGCAACCGTGGCTCCATCCCAGCACAGGGGATTTGCGCCGGCTGCTCGAGCACAGTGCATTTTGATGAGCTCTGCTGAGAAGAAGTGATTAGCAGTGGCGGGCAATTTGGCATACAAACCCCCCCTTCCTCGTCCCCAGGCCTCCCTGCTGCCCGCCAGCTCCCTGGGCACCCGTCTGGCCCTGCTCACCGAGACCAGCCCGGCTGGATGCTGCCAAAAACATCATGGGATGATTTGGGGGCTGAAAACTACTGCTGCCTACTTTTAGGTTTGCCTAGAGAATTTGGGGATGCTCATGGGATGCCCCAAGGTGGCTGAACCCATGCAAGGAAGGAGCTGCTGCGTCCGGGGAGAGGCTGAAGGATGCTGGGGCTATGGAAGGATGCTCAAGATACAGGAGGATGCTTGGGCTACAGGAGAAGGATGCTTGGGCTACAGCCCCGCAAGCAACACAACCTCCGCAGCAGCAAACCCCTCAGGGCTTTTAGAGCATGAAGGTGCCGGCGCAGGAAGCAAAGGATGCTCCCGGCAGCCACAACGGTGCAGGGGTCGATCCCCGGCGCACGGGGATGCTCAAACGCCGCCGGGTGGGACGCATCCGGAACGACGGCCGGGTCTGATCCGTCTTTCCATCCTTCTGCTCTCACCACCCTGATTTTCATTCCCGTCATGTCTAACTGGCTGGGCGCCAAGGCGAGGAGAAAGCCGGGCTCAGCTGGGCTGCAGCTGTCCAGACAGAGATCAATACGGGACACGCAGCGAAGGCTGATTTTATTACAGCGTCTAACAGCACAGGCACCTAATAAAGCACCGAGCCCCGACTCCTACTTAATTGCTTTCTCTCACAGCTTTTCCTTGAGAAAATGGAGAGAGGTGGCAGGGGGGGAATCCCCCCTCTCCCAGCCCCTAAACCATGCTGCAAAAGAAAAAGCAACACGAATCTTTTCCTGGCACCACAGGGTGAAACTCCGAGATCAGTTAGAGCAGCTCCAGAAAAGCCTTTCATTCGCTCGGTGCCATTCGGGCTAATTACTGCTGCCATTTACAAGCAAATAAATAAATAATCATAAGCCCCGCTAATAAAGTGCAGCTTGTGCTTAGCCCGAGGCCACCTCTCCCAGCAGCACTGGGGCTCGTTTTTCCGGCTGGATGCCCCAAACCCTCACCCTGCTCCTCCCAGGGGACAGTGCAGCTCCGGTCTAAATTTTGGGGAGGGAAGATCCAGCTCCCCGCGCTCCGATGGAGCTGGACTGCAAGGACCAGGTGGGAAACCTCTAGCACTTGCTGCAAAGTCTAACAAATGCCAACACACACCAAAAAAAACCCCACAAAAAAAAAACCAAATCCAAGAGTTTGGTGCTTTTTCAATGCATCCCAGTGGGATCGGCCACCGAACAACCCAGCATCCTGGCAGCGAATATGGCTCCAGGCATAAGCTCACATGCTAAGTTAAAGTTTGGGTTGAGTTAACCCAAACCAGCTAATTTGGCTTAAAATAACAAGAATAACCAGGCGAGCCAGGTTTTAGGCAGGTTTCGGCACTGGGGCAACCTACTGGCCCCTCTATGGGATTTAGCTGAGCGGTTATGTGGAGGCAAAACCCAACAGCCCTTTTGGTATCGCTGCTCTTCCAACCCACACCAGCACAGCCAGGTCGGCGTCGGCACCACCCCCCCGGTGACGCGGCAGTCGCTCGGCGTTTGCCGTCCGACCGTAAAAATAAGAGAAGAGAAAGCAAAAGAGGGCTCCGCAGCATCGGGGTTTTGCTGTGCAAGCGCTGCATCCGCCCAAAAAGCGTGGGCTTTGCCGACACCACGGCGTCGCTCCGTTATTTATCCAGGACAATCCCACCCTGCAAAGCCACCTCCTTGAAATGCCACCCCCGGGGCTTGCCACCATCCCCGTAATCCCCCGGCACGGCCGCTTGCTCACCGACGCAGTCGCAGGTGGGGAACTCTGCTTGCGCCCGCTTGGCCGGGGTGTCCAGGAGGCTTTTGGTCGGCGTGTCCAGGTATTTCAGCGGCGACTCCAAAAAGCCGCTCAGGGTTGGCGTCAGCGGCACCTCGTCCTTGGTGGGCGTCCCGTCGGCGTCATCCGCGTCCGGGTTTTGGCTTTCCTCAGAGTAAAAGCACGTGGTTGACACCACGGTGATAGCACCAGAAGACTCGATTTTGATCTGTTTGGGGGACCGGGCGGTGAAGGATGGCTCCGAAAGTGGACCCTTCCCCGGCGAGAACGAAAAGCTTTTGGGTCCGGCTTGGGGAGCGCTGCTCGAAGCCGGGGCGGCGGCGGCGGCGGGGGGCACTTGCGGGGCTGGTGCTGGCCCCCCCGGCAGCTCAGCAGCCCCGGGGGCGAGCGGGGCAGGCGTCTCGGGGGGCTGCAGGTTGAAATTCTCCCCGAATTCAGCTTCAAATTGCCGGATAAGCTCTTCCAGCTTGTCATCCACCACGATGGGGGTCGGGGCAGCCGGTGGGGGGGCGGCTGGTGCTTCCTCCAAGCCGGTCGAGCCCGCCAGCACCGGGTGAATTTGGGGGCCCCCCCCGGGGGCACCCCTTTCCTGAGAGTCGGGAGCCGGGGGGCCGCCGTCGAGGAGGTTCGGCGGCGGGGGGCGAGCAGCGGGCAGGGGTAGTGCAAGAGGCTGGAGCGGGAAGGCAGGCGGCGGCGGCGGTTCGGTTTGCATCTCTTCGGCGGGGGGTTCGGCAGGCACCCGAAACCCTTCCAGGCTGATCTGCCAGAGGGGCGGGAAGAGCGGCTGCGAGTCCTTCTGCTTTGCCTTCTTGATCTGCACTTGCTTGCGGAGCGGTTTGGCCGGGGGGGGCTTTTCGGGCGGCGTTTTCTTCTTCTTCTCTTTGGCCTGCTTTTCGAAGGGCTTGGGGGGCACGGCCGGGGCGCCGGGAGCCCACCAGCCGCTCGGCCGGTCCGGGGGAGCCGCCGCCGCTGCCAGGCTTTGCTCGAGGAAGAGGCTGCGTTTGTGGTGGAGATGCTGCTGCAGGACCAGCTGCGTCTTCTTGTGTAGGCTGGGCTCCGGCGGTGCCGGCGGCAAGCGGGGGCCACTCAGCGCTTCCTTGCTGGGTGCTCGTTCGGGGGGCTCCGTTTTAGGTGCCATCACTTTGCCGGCCGTCACTTCGGGTCTCTTGAAAGCTGCCTTGATGTAGTCATCAGCGTTACCCAGCAGCTGCTCCAGCTCTGCCATGGGGTCTCCGGCCCCCGCCGCCCCCTCGGCCTCCAGCCCCCACGCCGCCGCGAAGCCACCCCGGGGAGGTGCCGCGCCGAAAAATGGCTCTGGCGCTGCTCCCGGCTCCGGCGGATAACGGGGCTCGTCTCCTCGCTGCCATGCGGCCCCCGGCGGGGCAAGGGGGCCAGGG